TTCTCTGTGGACATGACTGACGGAGTTCAACCACGGCCGATTGTGCACCAGACCGTGTGTTAACTGAAAAGACTTTGCAAACGACAACGACACTTCTCTTCGTTAGCTTTTACCATGTCATAACAAATTCAGCATAACTCTTCGGTTCTTAGTATTTGAAGATAGATGCAACAAAAGCCAACTTGCAGTAGCCTTTGAACAAACAAATATGCCTGTAGAGCCATCGCGGGTCATTGCTGGTGAGACAAGTGTTTTCTCTGACAAGATGTAACCGGCAAACTTAGAGTAGTTTAACTGGAAGTCCACGTTCGAAATGAAACCTTCAGATCTGAAAATGATATCCAGGGAAGAGGGGTACAAGTGAGTTTCGTTAGCGGTCCGCGACAGCAAGTCACTGATGGCCTGTTCGTCTGTGCCTGATTTTGTGGAATGAGGTGACTACTTATAGAGTTTTGGTTCTTACAGAAGCACCACTGTCTTTGTCAAGCATTCTGGTGCAGTTAAAATTTAGTCTAGAGGTAATGTGATAGGAACAGTCAAAAGATTCAAAAGGAAAAAACACTCAGTAGCGCTCTGGCATAGCCAAGACAAGCGAACATGCGAGTCCCAGGAAGCAATTGAGAGGAAAAAGACTCGATCGCTAGGACAATACGTTTATTCGCCTGACGTTTCGACATTCGTCGCAGATTCAGCATCAGAGGCATGAGTGGGAGACAGTAGCAGAAACGGTTAGTGCATGCACAGAAGTTTGCAGTATTTATAGGATACAGTCATTACTACAAACGTATAGTGACAATTAACGTTAATTTCCTTCTTGCGCGTGGATAGTTTGTTGGACAGCACGCGGGCTCTGAGCTGTTGAAATTTAATCACGGGTGGTGGGCTCGGGCGTGATGATTGCTCGGCCGTTTGGCTCTCCGGTGTTGGCGTAAGCTGAGGCGGTGGCCTGCCCGTTCCTCAGTTGGCGACTTGCTTTGGCCAAATTGAATCTCAGCATTGAATATGGATTGGGCA